CTGATGTCCTTCCAAAGAGCCATTAGTAAATCATATGGAATGTTCTTGACTGATACACCTAGCTCTCACAAGGTACTGAATTAATTCATGATGCATGGTAACAAACGCTACTTTGATGTGATTGAAAATACCAAAATAGATTCAAGTTTTCTTACAAGCAGGTGGAGTGATCTAGTGATGACAAACATTGTCCAGAGAAAGCAAGACTGGACACCAGGAGAAGTTGCGGTTTTACGCTACGTGAGGACACGTGTACAATCACAAACAAAAACATCATAATATATTATCATGCACACATGTACATGCAGATACTAACATATTAAAAACAAGAATATGAAATATGGGCACAGGTACATGTACATACATACAGAACCAGTAAGGGACAACCAATATTATACAAACACACCAATAATAGCTAAACATGTACATGCTGCGAAAATACTTGAATAGTGAGATAACCTATGACCCTTTACATATACCAAAACCATTTGATGAAAACCAAATTATAGACATATACCATAATTATTAACCTTGCTATATATAAGTACATTTTTCTATCTTAATAGCATACCATTCCTATACATACAACTTATAACATTATGATCAATCCTTAATATGATACAATATGATACCAACACCATACATAGTATTAATTCTGCTATACCAGTATAATATCTTAATACTGTGCTATTACCAATGTACAACCATTAATGTTACCTATATCATAACATATTAACCTTGCTAAATAAGTGGGTATGCTCCTATCCTTCATTGCCTACATTGACTTAGCACTTATGAACCTTAATATGACACAATAAAAAAATATCATGTACCTATACCATACTAACCTCATTGCTATACAAAGTACATTCCTCTCTTAATACCATAACATTACCTACCTACAACTTATGCACACAACATAAGAAACTTAACTTATTACTAAATACCATACCATTGACCAATAATCTATTACCATTGCTTCCTACCATATTACTCTGTATATGACCCTGTCTATCATTGCAACCTCTACAACCTTAACATAATAAGAGTAATCTTAATATACAATCTACCACAATGTTTATATTTATAGTACTAATAATTTAATACACAATAATAATAATGAAATAACTCGTGTTGGCTATAAAATAACAAACACACTCACCACGAAATGCAACAGAGAATTGAGATTTCACTATAATATTGTGTCAACTTTAAAGCGTTATTTGCATCAAAACATCTAATCACGTGCACGTAAATTTGACATTACGTTAATTATAAACCTACAATGAGAGCTATTGACTTACTTTGAAAGGCGAACACTATAAACAAATGAGCTTAAGCCCAATGCTGTCAAAGCATCGAGAAAGAGAATGAGACTTAGGAAGCTGGTTCCCAGGTCCATCAACAATCCTCATCACAGACCCTCCCAATCCACCCACTGTGACTAGGCTTTGTTCCTCTCCTTTCTACTCTCCCCACCTGAAAACAGCTAGTAACAGAGGAATGATCCAATTGTAAACTGACCGGAGAAGTGTAGAGTAGTGATGCATGATATGACAATAGT